AAGCCTGCTTCTCCCTCTCCCTCTCCCCCTGCTTGTGTTCCCTCTCTCGCTGTGTCTCTCTCTGTCAAATAAATAAATAAAATCTTTTAAAAACAAGGAGACGTGCAGCAGCTGGTAATATCTATCAAACTGATCCGGCAACTCCGTATCTGGGACTCTCTCCTGCATACGGATCAGGTGGCAGTCACTGCGGTGGTCGCATCACCACAGACCACCTAAACAAGCAGGGAACCGGTGTGACAAGCCATGGTACATCCACACAGTGGAACATTAAATAGTTATAAAAAGTAGGGAAGTTGTATTAAGCGAAAAGAACAGTATGAATGAATAGCATGTAACCCTTCGTGAAGAAAAATACCCATTCATACGTGCTTATCTACGATTAAGAAACTCAAAGACCTAACAGGAAGCAACGGTTATCTTTGAGGCAACAGGGTAGGAGGAAGCCACTCCGCCACTGTGTCTTTTACTTTACATATATAAAGTTTTACTTTTAACCACGAGACTCTATTCCCTACTCAAAGAACACATGAAAGATGCACGCGCCTGCGCACAGCTCGGATGGCTGACTCTCCAGAACTGTGGTTCAAGAGAACAGTCAGCTCAGCGCCCTCTCACCGCTCGAGGGCATTCCCACTTTCTTCCTCTGGCTTCCCCAGAGCAGCCCCAGTCCTTCCCTCTGGTCCCGACGGGGCCACGGCCGCCTTACCGACCCCTCCTGGAGCGCCCGGCGCAGGTCGTGCAGGTCGGCCTCAGGACACCAGACTTCAGCGATGAGGCACTTGTTGGTCACATCGAAGCTGCACATGTTCAGCATGTGGTAAATGGCTTTCATCTTCTTCACCTGGATGACGTGGCTGTAGACGGATTCGGCGGCTTTACACAGTACTTGCCTTAAATAATCCTCGGTTTTGTGAAGCACCTGGGTGGGAACAAACTCAGGCTGCCAACACTGCGGGCACTTCTCAGTATCTGTCCGTCCAGCACCTGGCCCTCCGGGGGGCAGACACGAGAACGGTCTGTTCCTTCTCTTCCTGACCCCCAGTACCACCGGGAAGCGGGCGGAAGCCCAAGCCCCGCCGATCTGAGGCTCCCTCTGGGGAGCTGCCCCTCCAGGACACCACCCCAAGGGGACAGGAACTGGTTAGATGGCACCATCGGGGTGGCAGCACAGTGACCTGGCCGGGCCCACGGAGCTCCCCTCTCTTGCCATTCCCAGCCTCAGCTCAGCTCCCTGTCAACCCTGAGAGCCACCAACTCCACCCCATCACACATGGCCTGAAACCCCTTTTGCTTAAGTGGGTCGGAGTCTACTTCTTGCCACCAAGAGCTCTCACTGATAGAAGCAGAAACATTAATTAAAGTAGTGAAAGCAAAACAGCCACCACTTTTAACAGACTGCTTGTCTCCTGTGATGACCAGAGAATCTTCTCTAAAGTCCCATCAATAGCACCTAGATTTCTAACAGCCTGCTAAAATAAAACTTGCATGAAGAGGAGCAAGGTGAATGACACGCCTAAAACATCTTGATTTGTCCACAACCAAAATTTTCCACATTAAAAAATTAGAAAGTAAATGGATTTGTAAAATGTTTTACACACCTCAGATAAGGAGGCAACCGTTTCCCGTTTACTCACAGTGTAAAGATCTTGAATCCGGGTATTTAGTCCCTCCTGAATCTCCTTCCGCTCCTCAGCAGTGTTTGGGTAGGGGTAAACATGGCAGTGGTAACTAGAAGACAGAATTCAACAGTCGCACGTCCAGTGGGACCAGAAGAGGCTATACCAAACACCAGAACTAAATTCAGTGTACCACGTGGGCACATCTCCCTCCAAAATGGAATAAAAGCAGCCCTCTGAGAGAAAAAGGTGCAGACACGCACGGGCCCACAGTGAGGCCTCGCACAGAGACACTCAACAAATTCTGTCTACAGGATTCAACAAATTTAGCAAACTCTCTTGGTTCCATGTTCCATTCCTGCCCTCCCATCTCCGGAGCTCGCTCCCAATTCCTACTTTCTGAAATTCACCACCATCCTTGGGCTGGGAATCATTAAACAAGTTTGAAACACAAAAGCAAAGAACACACAACAGTAACTACCTTTAAAAGAAAGAGAAAATGGAGGGAGGAGGGAAAAAAAAAAAGCTCCGGTTTCCCAGCAACTGCCTTTGACATGCGGTGCAGTAAACCTCTCCCTCCCCTCCCAGGGCCCATCTCGTGGGGGCTGCACGGCACCCCAACACACCGGGAGCGGAAGCTGCACCTTCCCTCTTGCAACTCCCATCCCCCTTGACATTTTTATGCCATACTTAACATTTTAAGTTCTGACTATTAAAATTACTCACTCTAGCCTCATCCCAAACAACAATATCTATGAAATCATAGGTTTGTGTGCTGGTTATACTTTTCCTACTGTACATTAAAATAAATACATATTTATGAAAATAACAGCAGGTTCATCCACATAATACCTGAAATTGCTGTCCATACCACCAGTGACTGAGAATCAGCCTCTGGGAAACACTTTCCAAAGGAAATACCCGAGCCCCACCCAAGCCCCCACAAGAAACAAGGCCATCTAAAAACAAAGGGTATTCTTTTGACATTTTTGTTTGGCTTCTGCTTATTTTTCCACTGTTGACGAGACTACATCACAGTGAGATTGTCACAGCGACACTCCTCGGCTGCGCTGGTGGCTGCCGGTGGCTGCCGCTTGCTCGGGGGCTCCTCGCTTGCTCGGGGGCTCCTCGTCTGTGTCGCCTCAGGCCTGAAGCCCACTGAGGGAGGGAGCCTGGCCGTGGTGGCTCACCAAGCTCGCCCAGCGCGTGGGTGGAGCCAGACTCTGGGTCCAGGCCCTGAATCCAGGCCACGGTGCACAAAGAAACCTGCCGACTGTTGTTCAGCCAAAGATGAACCAGATGCTCCATGATGAGAGACGGGCCTCCATGGAGCTCAGTGCAACACAGAGGCACAAAATATTAAAATTCGATTCCTTCTCCAATTATTCTTAAGCCCTGATTCCCAGGGAGGAAATAAAACCTAAGAATGTTATTAAAAATGGTCTCTACTTCTAAAGTGTCTTAAGTAGAACACTGGCAAGAGAGATGACTAAATGTTTAAAAACATGGTTCTATGGCGAAGACATAGAACCAGACACAGCAATCTTTGCACCCACTGCATTTCCCCTCAAACACAGACGGATATTTAGGGAAAACTAGAGGCCACTGAATATAAGCAAATAGATGAAATGTTTCTTGTTCTTACCAATCACATATCTTCTTTACCTTGTGGCCAATCTGCTCTCCCCAAAAGGATATTAAAAACACATACCATTTTACGACTTCTCCCTAGAAGAATAAATCGGGATCATTGTTACTCATGTGTCCGGAACTCTTGAGAACTCTGGCATCCCAAACTCTGTCACAAGTCAGCCCCTTCACCCCCGCAACAGGTGCAGCTGCCCTCAGGCCCCGCAGACTCCGCAACTGCGCCTAGCCCACCCCGGCCACAACGTGTTCTTCACCCTAACATCAGTCCTGGCAGTGGTGTGGGGTCATTTACAGACACACAGAGCAGCCCAAAGTCTCAGTCCCCGGATGTGCCTATTCCAGCTGAGGTCACACGGGGCGGCTCTCTGCCTTCTGGTTCCACATCATACGGTAAAAAAGGGGCCTTGTCATGGTTTAAACGTGTTTTTCACACTTTTGCGCTCTTTGTTGGTGGTTTCACTATCTAAAATGGTCCTCGGGTGTAATGCTGAAGTGCTAGCTAGCTTCCTGGGCCCGAGAAGGCAGTGATGTGCCTTACACAGAAAATACATGTGTCAGATAAGCTTCCTTCAGACGTGAGTCATAGAGCTGTTGGCAGAGTTCCGTGTTAATGAATCCGTAATACATACTGAATAAGAAACACACATAGAACAAGGTTATTATTGATCGGTGGACAAAAATGTGAGCAGAGGCTCCCAGAAACCTAACCCTGTATTTCCCCTGGTACAGTGGTTCAGTGTCATTAATTCAAGTGTTCATGGAGACCTTACAGAACTACCATAAATACTGAGAAATAATTCTACAAATAAAACTGAGCAGGTTTTTGGCCTATTTGCCAGGCTCTGTTCTAGGTGCTAAGAATACGGAACTGAACAAAAGAGACAAAAATCCCTGACTTGGGAGGGGTGGGGATGTATCCAAGTTGGCAGCAAGAGACGCAAAGAAAACACACGGTCCACCACATGGAGAGAAGTGATAAGTGCTCCAAAGGAAACAGAGCTGGAGGAGGTGAAGGAGGGCAGGGGGCTGGGGGCTGTGATTTTAAATAGGGTGACCAGAGAAGGCCTCCCTGAGAAGGGGACATCGGAGCTTAAAGGGGTGAGGGAGGGGAGGGAGCCGTGTGGCCACCGTGGGAAGGCCTCCCAAGGCACAGAAGAGCTCACGGAGAAGCAGGTTCAGGGAAAGCAAGAAGGTCAGCACGCTGAAGGAGTGTGGACAGGGCAGAGTAGTAACACAGGTCAGACATGCGATGAGGCCATAAGAAGTGACACTATAGGGGCGCCTGGGTGGCTCAGTTGGTTAAGCGACTGCCTTCGGCTCAGGTCATGATCCTGGAGTCCCTGGATCGAGTCCCGCATCGGGCTCCCTGCTCGGCGGGGAGTCTGCTTCTCCCTCTGACCCTCCTCCCTCTCATGCTCTCTGTCTCTCATTCTCTCTGTCTCAAATAAATAAATAAAATCTTAAAAAAAAAAAAGAAGTGACACTATAAGGCTCTGGGCGTTTTGCCAAGTGAAACGGGAAGCCACTGGCGGGTTTTAAGTGGGGAAGTGACATGATCTGACTGAAGTCTTATAGGAATCGTTCTAGATGCTGGGAGGAGAGAACACAATAGGACAGCGGCCGGGGCGGGAACTGAAGACAGAGGCTCCTGCAGAAGGGAGGTACTTGAGGTGTGGATGCTCATGTCCTGGAGCAGGGTAGTGGCAGTGAGGGTGACAAGAGAGACCAGAGTCTCTTCCTATTTAAAAGACATGGCCAATCACCCTGCTACAGGATTAAACATGAGGTCTGAGGAAAAAGAGAAGAGTCAGGAGGACCCCCAAGGTTTGGGCCTTGGAGTCGGAAGGATGGAGCTGCCACTTACCGAGATGGGCAAGCCTGGCAGGGCAGGTTTGGAAGGAAAGACCAAGAGTCCAGCTTTAGGCATCAGGTGCAAATGTCTTCCAGGGATTTTTTTTTTTTTTAAGATTTTATTTATTTATTTATTTGACAAAGAGAGCAAGAGAGCACAAGCTGGGGGAACAGTAGGAGGGTGAGGGAGAAGCAGGCTCCCCGCCAAGCAGGGAGCCCGATGCGGGGCTCGACCCCAGGACCCTGGGATCATGACCTGAGCCGAAGGCAGACGCTTAACCATCTGAGCCACCCAGGCGCCCCATCTTCCAGGGATTTAGAAGAAGACCTGGAGTAGCCAGTTAAATAGAAAAGTCTGTTTTTGTGGGGAGAGATCCAAGCTAGAGATAAACATTTGGGAGGTAGTATCTAAAGCTGTGAAATTATATAGGATCCCTAAGGGCAGAGAGAGGAGAGAAGCAGCCCAAGAACTGAGCCCTGGGCCGCAAAAGATGGGGAATAGGTCAGGGATCCTCAGGGAAGCACAGGCAGGTGGGTCCCCACGGCAAGAAGACAGGATGGTGGGGGGAGGAGGAGATGGCCTATGTGTTTGGGAGATGGGTTATGTTGAATAAATAAGTAAACTAACTGCGCAATTCATGAAACACATTGAAGATAACGGGAGCCAGATTTCTCACTGTCAGAAAAGAAACTACAAACACATGAAAAAGGTTCAGTCTAGAAAGAACCGATCGGAATTTTAAGTTACAGTTTGAGCACGTGGTTTTATAATCGCCAAGCACAGGTAGCCACAGAAGTGGGTACAGCCGCGTGCGTGTGTGCGTGCACATGCGCATGTGTGCACACACACGCTCCGACCGCTCAGACGGCCCAGGGGCAGCGACACTCCGCGACCTGATGAGCACTCGAGCACCCAGATCTTTGTAAACACCGCCCTCCGCTAAAAGGCACCAGCGGTCCTTGGAGAAATGGCCGCTTCCAGGCTGAGGTAGGGAGAGCACAGAATGAAGCTGGCACATCTTCCGGTGCCAGCAAGGAAGGGACTACTCGGTGGACGCTGACAACAGGCCAAAGGACACAGGGATATGCACGAAGGGATCCTCAGCAGCCAAATCAGGGACAATTTGGGCGTCGAAATAAATAAGGACCGTAACAGATTACAAGTCATTAAATACAATGGAAATCCACAAGTCCACGGAAGCGAGAGGGGGAAGCCCGCCTTCAGAGCAATCACTAGTAAGTATAGAAGGAATGAGGACCACATGGCAACCACGACCGAGGTGATGGATTCAGGAGAGTCATCCATGGACACTAAGCCTGGTGGGCAGGTTGGGGAGGCACGGGACACCAGCACAACTTGGAAATTACTAATCCGTCACAAAGGGCAACATGGTGACATGAAGGTGGAGAAACCCAGCAGACACCAACGTGACAGATGGACATCACGTGTCACCTGGTAGGAGGTGCTGAGGTGGCCAGAGAGACACTTCTAAGGTGTTTCCTGCCGAGAACACATGGCCCGAGTCTGGTCGTGAAGAAACATCAAACTGCCCAGAGGGAGGGGGTCGGCCCACGGGATGGGATGCCTGTTCCCGATGCTACTACAGGCCCAGGGAGGGAGCTGGACTGGGAAGGAAGGAAGAAGAACCGCCGGGAGACGAGAACGGCATGTTTGGATGGGACAAAAGTGTTGCACCTGCGCTGGTTTCTCACGGTTGGGAGGCCCCTTGGTGCTTGTGTAAGAGCGTCCGCGCCTGGGGGCACACACTGGAGTAACTCAGGGGTGATGGGGCCACGTCTACAGCTTCCTCTCACCAGGCGTGCACAGAGCACAGTGAAAATGGGGACAGAGTCACAGAGAGAGCACATGGCTGATGGAGCCAATGTGGGAACGTGGAAACGACTGGGAAATCTGGGTGAAGGGACACAGGTCTCTGTTCTCTTCTGGGAACTTTTCTATAAACTGAAATTCAAAATAAGTTATTGAAGAAACTAAACTGGGGGGAAGAAAAAAATGGCATTTACAGCAAACCTGACCTCGAAGATTCCATAACAATTTTCTTTTATTTATTCATTTTTTTAAAGATTTTATTTATTTATTTGGCAGAGAGAGACACAGCGAGAGAGGGAACACAAGCAGGGGGAGTGGGAGAGGGAGAAGTAGGCTTCCCGCTGAGCACGGAGCCCGATGCGGGGCTTGATCCCAGGACACCGGGATCATGACCCGAGCCGAAGGCAGACACTTCTCCCAGAAGACTGAGCCACCCAGGCACCCCTCCATAACAATTTTAAAAATAGTACTGGGTCAAGGAACACAAACACCTCAGGCGTAAGATGGAACAGGGACAGCACACAACATAAAATACAAATCATTAAACCAAGTGAGATCGCCTGAGTCTAGCTTTGACACAGAGTGGTCAGTACCTAGAAACAAGACCGACAAGGAGGAGATAGCTAGAAATACGCTCTGGAGGCTGTAATAACGCTAAGGGACCAGATGATCAAACCCAAAAGGCACTAAACCTGACACGATAAACAAATCCTAGAACCTGAGTACCAGGTGCCAAATCAAATACCTGTATCTTCTCCAGAACAAGAACTAGAAGAACACATGCTGAAATGTCAACAGTGGCCCTCCCTAAACGGGATCACAGGGGTTGATTTTCTCATTCATATTTTTGATATTGTTCCCAATTTTCTGCCACAAGCATACATTTCCTTTGTAACTATGGGGAAGCTGTATTTTCAGGATAATACTTCTCTCTAGTCCACTTCTCTGTATTTCTTCACAGACATTCAATGCCCTTTCACATATTTGGTAGGAACTCAGCACAAAAGAGCTTAGAAATATATAGAAGTTTTTCACTTTAGCAAATGCTCTGCATAAGAATGACTGACAGGTTTTCTCAATAAAGAAGAAGCTCAGAGGAACAGGTAAATGCTACCGCAGGACGCTTTCTAACTTCAGCTTTATAGACAGCGGTCATAAAGTTCACAGTAAAGGACAATTAACAGATGGCTCCTGGCAGTTACAGGAGCCACGAAAGAGTAGAAAATATTACAAGTGTATGGTTAATGAACAGCTTGACTGATTAGATTTTCACTAGATTAAACTTGTGTGGCTCATACAGGCTAAATCTTATGAAAGTCCATTTCACAGCCAAACTCCTCTTTATGTGTCAAAACTATGGGACATATATTCGTCTTGCAGCCAAAATTCCTGAGGCAAATTTAGGAAAAAAAAAAAACACAAGCCCTTTCCTCAAAAGTAAGAAGCCTAAGTTCCTTTTCTACCTTTAATAGATCAGTCCATCCTCATTTAGAGCAATATAGTTATTTTTATGGTAAAGTCTAAAAAAAAAAAACAGATTTAAAAAGGTGATTATGGCTTTCTCTCTCCTGTCCCTCAGCTTCCCTTCCTGAATAATTCAGTCCTAAAGCCTTAAGAATACATGCAGGGATGAACCCAGAAGGAGGAGAAGACCAACGGTGGCCCTGGGCAAAGTCAGAGCTCAAGCAAGATGAGGAGAGCATCCCTGCAGGGGAGCAGCCCAGGTGGGGTGAGGAGGACATCCACAGCAGGGGCCCACCCCAAATGGGGAACTTGGGACTCCATGCAGGAAGAAGAGGGGGCGGCAGAGATGGGAGACTGGTTACATGCAAGTGGATGAAAAATAGTAAAAACATTAACAACAAGAGCCGAGTTTCTCATCATCAAAGAAAAAAGTTACAAAAACAGAAATGGAGAAACCGACACTGACTTCTATGGTACTAGCTTGGAATTGGACATGAACCCACAGTTTTCAATATATATGCATAGGTACAGAAATAAGGTTGTGTGTGTGTGTGTGTCCCAGAGCTGTCCAGTGACAGAGCCAGGGAACAGCGACCCCTCCATGAACAATGGGCACCCCCAGAGTCCGTTCCTTGGCTTCTAAATACCATTCTCCACTAAACAGAACCAGGCACCTAGAGAAGTGGCTGATGCCAGAGCTGGGTGAGGGAAATTACACGAATCTGGACAACTTGTTGTGCAAGCAAGGAAGTGCACGAAAAATGATGGCAGCATGTGAAAGGACAGAAAAGCCAACTTGTATGGACTCCAATGGGCCAAACCTAGAGAATCTGAATATCAAAATAATTATAGTAACAGAGTGTAACTCACTGACTCAAATAGGAAATAGTGAACTGAAAATCTGATGGGGGGTACCTGGGAGGGCTCAGTAGGCTGCACAGCTGACTCTTGATTTTGGCTCAGGTCACGATCTCAGGGTCTTGGGATTGAGTCCTGCACTAAGAGCAGAGTCTGCTTGAAGATTCTCTCCCTCCCCCTCGGCCCCTCCCCACCTCTACCCCCCCTGCTCACACTTTTGAAAGGAAGGAAGAAGGAAGTCTGATGAGGAATGACATAGTTACAGTTTCAAAGCGTTTCCCCCAAAACACGTATTAATTACAAAGGAAAAAGATGACTTCACACTGGAGAAGCCTAAGCATCACCACCTCGACCAAATGATCAAAGCAAACGTTACCAGCAACAGGACGAACTGAATCATGCGCTCGACAGGATGCAGTGAGGAGAACATAGCATCACTTCTGCCAAAGATCCATGACCTGAATCTAATCATGAGAAAAGATCAGACAAACCCAAATGCAGAGACATTCTACCAAAACAACTGATCTGTAAGAATTTTCAAATGTCAAGGTCAGGAAAGTCAAGGAAAGACTGAGAAATTGTCCCAGAATGAAGGAGACCAAAGAGATGTGACAATTAGATCCAAACTGTGATTCTAAACTAGACCTTCACTATAAAAGGTGGTAGCGGATGACCGGTGAAACCTGGATGGGGTACGAGGCCCGGAGGGTAGCACTGTGTCTACCTTCATTTCCGGGCTGCAATCCAAGAGAGAGCCCTTGACTTTAAGAGCCACACCCACATGTGCTCGAGGATGGTAAGGCCTCAGGTGAACAACTCACTCTCAAGTGGCTCCCCGCGCACCGAGCCTCCAACTCCGCTGTCAGTCTGTCATTGTTAAAAGGTGATCGTGACATTGACTCACTGTTTCAGGGTCCTCGAGGGGCTCATCCAGCTCTGCATAGGTCACAATGGTGTACCCTTTGCAGACCCTCCACAGCATTTTCTCAAATGCTTCAACTTTTCCTTGGTTAATTAAGCCAGATACAAATCTATGAGACAATAAACACAAGCTGCAGTCAATTGAAAGCAATGAATTATCTGATTGCATTAAAAGGAGAAATGAATCATTTCTGGCAAAATGGTGAAGGTATCCTGAAAGCCCTCCAACTGCAAAATATCTAAAATGCTGGATAAAAAATTTGGGGAGGCGTCTGGGTGGCTCTGTTGGTTGAGCATCCGACTCTTGATTTTGGCTCAGGTAGTGATCTCGGAGTTGTGGGATCGAGCCCCGTGTCAGGCTCCACACTCAGTGGGGAGTCTGCTTGAAGGTTCTCTCTCCTTCTGCCCCTCCCCCTCCTCACACACCCACATGCTCTCCCACTCTCTCTATGAGATAAATAAATCTTTTTTAAAATTTTATTTTTGAAACATCCCTTCAAATGTATAGGTGAGCCTATAATTAAGAGAAATTCTTGGAATCGAAAAATAAACCAGGATCTCATAGCTATCTTGATATATTCCACTGACCCAGTATCTTAAAGCCTTGAGCGTCAAGGTCAACACGGGAGGCAGGAGACAGGCACCAGGTCTGCATGGGCTGAAAAGATGAAACTGAATCATCTCTCCTAATCCCCCCCTAAGGTTGGGACTCCCACCCCCTCACCCCCAAAGAGCTACACCCTTAGTGAATGGATGGACTAGAAAAAGTCTTACAAAGGAGCCCCCAAATAAACTTATTTATATCAGTTTTGGTTCTACAAAGAAGAGGAAAAGTCTTCCTTGATAATTTATTTATTTTTTAAAGATTTTTTATTTATTTGAGAGAGAAAGGGAGAGAGGGAGAAGGAGAGAGCAATAGCGGGGTGAGGAGCAGAGGGAGAGGGAGAAGCAGACTCCCCGCTGAACATGGAGCCCGACTCGAGCCTCAATCTCAGGACCCTGAGATCATGAACTGAGTCAAAGGCAGACACTTAACCAACTGAGCCACCCAGGTACCCCTGCCTTGAGAATTTATAATCACAGGCTAGAATTCACTCAGGTTTGTGGCTTAAATTCACATTACTTGCATAGTAAAAAAAGAAGAACAAAAAATCCAAGCTGAGAAATTAATGTAAAATGATTCCAGGTTGGTACAATGCTCCCCCGGTATCTGACAAATGTAAAAACAAATTCTCTCTGAAGGAATACATCCTCAAACTACATTATCATTGGATTCCTACAGACAAGGAACAGAGGAACAGATGTTCATAATAAAAAGAAATCACAAATCACATGAGGAAACAAGTTACCATTGGTTCAAGGAAACAGAAAGGATTAATAGCAGAAAAAGATCCTTAAAATACAATTAATGAATTAACCAACTCAATTTAGCCCCTATGTTTCCACCAAACAAAACAGGACTTGACACTTCACTGAGCAATTATTTTAGGCTTATTGGAATAACACTGAATGGCATAAATGTTCCTTCTTTCCAGCTCATTATACCAAAAGAAGAAATTCCCATGGTATTTAGCTAACAAGTCAATACAGCTGAATAACTCCACTCAGCAAATACAGGAGTACAGTGTTTTCTCAAACAGATATTCACTTTCTTTCATTCCATCACAGGCTTTCAAATGGGAGCATTCATCCCTCCACTGACGACAGGGACAGTGTGACGCTCAGCCCCCCAGTGGTTGTCACCTACCCCAGTTTTGCTCCCAGCCTCTGCATACAGCTGTAGTCCAACAAGGAATCATTCTCTAAGGGAGGGAATTCTTCATAAGTGGGTTCAAACTACAAAGAAATACGAAACCAAGTGTGTCTCATTACAAGTGACACTTTATTTCCCAAGTCACGTTTCCGAGCAAGTTTACGGAGCATCCTAACTGGGTGCCAGACCCGGGTGCTGATGCCCCAAGATCACTCAGATGTGGAACACAGCTCTGGTAAATAAAAAAGATCGCTTCCCCGTCCCTTATTTATAAGTTACTTGCAGTCAGGTTACTGGAGGTAGGGTGTTATAATTTATGTCCCTGCCTCACTCTGAGACAGAGCGCTCAGTCAGACACCAGCACCAAGTGTACCAGCTCCATGGGATGGACTTCTCCCCTCCATACCCGGTGGAGGGCGAGCTATTACAGAGACTCTACTCATAAACTAGAGATCTCTTGTGAATTCCTTTACTCTTAGCAATTTGGTGAAAAAAACACACAAACTAAATTTTGGAGTTCAAACTCCACTTTCCCATTTCTTTGCTCATGATCATAAAAAGGTATTTTTCAACTACAAACTAAAGCATTTTACAAATAGAAAGTGCTGTTATTGCTAAAACCAACCAACACAGGGAAAGGCTTAATGCTTCGTTTAATGTCATGTAATCTGACTGAAAAATGAAGCTAAAATCAAAATGTACCTCTTTGATAACTGATAACCAAACCGGAAACCTTACAGGAGCTAGATTTTTAACAAAAGAAATGTGTTTCCTCGCGTGCGCGGTCAATACCTCCACGTTTCGTTTAACGAAGGTTTTTGTCACTCTGAGCATGTGAGTGTACTCAATCAGTTCCAGCAAGTTTTTCCTCAGCTTCTCCTTGTTCTTGGTGACTTCTCTCAGCTCAACCTCCAGCTTCTGCAGCTGCTCCTAAAGCCAAAGGGCAGTTACTTAAGAGGCCAGGTCCATTCTAAGTATGGTTCTCAAAAATTTTTTATAGTACATTAAAGCCCAGGGAGGGCTTCACAAGCCAGAATCTGACAATCTGAAGGGATATGGAAGCATGCAGAGATTTTCAAGGTCCATCATGTATTGTTTCCTATCGATTCAGGGAACTCCTACGCAGCTCACACTGTGCAGGACGGAGGCATCCCAGATGATGAATCGAGGCATCCTAGGCTGCCCTAGCCTCATCTCCACTCCCACCACTGCTCTGGGCTTCCCTTCATCTGCTTCTCCACCGTCACACATCAGAGAGTCTTCCTCTTTCAAGGCTACATATCCTTTTATTTGCAACACAGAAAATAATTTAGGTAATCTTTGCTAAGCATATACACCCCGAGCCTCCAGCTTAAGAGTCTGCTTACAGTAGCACTTACACAATTAATTGGGCTGAAGAATCCTTGAGGACGAGTCTTCTTTAATAAGCAGTTACATAGCAAGCGTCTTTAACAATACTTAAGTATTCAAACAGCAGCAACAGAGATGTGTAAAACACATCACTCACTCCGTGAAAACTTGTATGCAAACAAGTCCCTTGACATTCTACTTGTGCTCCACCTTATAAAAACTATAAACACTCAGTAATCACTGAAGTCGTCCTTACATCACAACCAACCCAAACAGGCCAAACCAGATGACTGTGTTCTACTCATCTGATGGCACAACTCTCTCTCAAGTCCACTCACACAATAAATGTTAAGTGACTTCCTCCCAGATAAACACACAGAGCGACCAGCTGCAGAGTGGTGCTGGCTATACAATGCTGATTGTTTCAGTGTTCGGGAGCTCTGGTCGATTTCCCGGTACAATGAGCTATCCGAGGATCGGACCCAAACCTCAGTGGATAACTCACAGGGGTGCTAACGAACAAGACAAGCCAGGGTTCTCGCAGGGGGAACGCTGTATCCCCAACACCCAAGACGCTGAACTTGGGGACAAGGAATTGTGTTTGCTGCCCACCTGGAATACCCTATCACCTTCCCACTAGCTTCTAAGGATCAGAGGGGAGGCCAGTGAGTTTGGGAGAATGCTAAAGGGCATTGGCCTGCAGCCTCCCTTACTTGCACCAGGAGAGGCATGCCAAGGCATGGATAAGCCCAGAAAGAACACTCAGAAACATTACACCAGATTTCTCAATCTGATTTTCTTAGCCCCGGTTCACCAACCACCTGGAAAGGGAGCATGCATCTTACATCACAGATAATCTATTACTGAAGGCTAACCATAGCATTGTTCTTCAATTTTCACTGCACAGTTTTGAGAAGAAAATCTGACAAGCCCTAGACAACATAACGTAAGTAAATAAGCAGCATCTGAGCCCAGTGACAGCTTCGTCAGAAACAAGTTACCTGCATTTCTAGGACTTGTTTAAGAGGTGGTGCAGGAGGACTGGTCTCTCCCTCAGGAAGGGGAATGTCAGCTCTATTAATTTCCTGCACCAAATATGCTGTGGGAATAAAAGGTAAACAAATTAGATGCACAAACTCACTCTAAGACATTTCTGTCAGAACATTTTCCATCCCAACCATTCCTGGGTCACCTAAAAAATTAATGTCTGAATGCACCAAAGTCTTGCTTGTCCCAATTGACTTAGAAAAAGCCTTTTGCAACCTCGTTTCCAAAGATCTGCAAAGTAAACCGCACCTAGAGAGATCAGCATGCAATGACCAAATAAACAACAACCTGATAAACACTTTCTGAAATTCCCCAAGTTTTCTCTATTTCTGAAACTCTAGTTCAAGAACTTTGGAGTCATAGCTGTTTCTGCACCCATAGATGAAGCAGGTTAAGGACACACTTGCAAGAGCAGGAATAATCCAATGATAGACCATCTCCACCAGAGAGGGCAGCGTGACTTCCCTGCAGATGCCCTTAGGAGGAAAGAAGTATCCATCAAGAAAAGCACAACCTCTATCAGCCAACGGAGCCCCGAGAGATACAGGGCAGAGAGCCAGGCTCTCCTGAGCATTCCCAGTCAGTCAGGCTGCTCTGACTTGCAACAACCTGATCTCACGTCCCAAACCAGATTCATAAAACTGGTAATGAGCCAGGCAAAATTAACTGAATTTCTTTAGTTTATATTTTCAATGCCATGAAGCATCCTTGTCCTTAGGATGAAACTCACAACGAATAGTAAAGCATTACTAGATATAACATTTTGGAGAAGTGTTACTAGTTATTTTATTCAGAAAGAAAGACAAAGAAAAGTGAGGAAGTCTTAGCAACAGGATAGCAAAGGAAGCAGGGGGTTAAAGAGGTTTCTGGAAATGGGACACAAATCGTTTCACCAATTAAACCTCATTTACTTGGGAGATCGTTTTGGTTTTTTGTTTAAGTCTGTATACTTTTTGAAACAGTTTAAGCTACAGGAAATCCTGTATGTGTCTAAAGTGTTGTCACTGCCTTTAAAAACCTCATTCCTAATACACGACCTGTCCAATGACTCACTATGTTACAAAGACAGGAATATGATGTCACTCTATCGCACACGATCCACACAAGTAACTAGGACCTCAAACAATATGCAAAGGAATAGATGATTAAAAGGGTTTTCTTGTCTTAAAAATCTCCAACTAAAAAATGTAAAATCCACAATAAATATTAGCGATTAGAAATCATTCCAAATGTCATATTCTGGCCCCTCCTGGGCTCTCTCATCCCCATGTTTTTCGGTTCATCCTACAAAGTTTTCTACTTCAGTCAGTTGTCTGAGATCAACCCCCCCTCCCCTATTTTGCTCCGAACTTCCAGGTTTGAACTGATAATTCTGACTATCTCAGGCTAAAGATGTTAAAGATTTTACAGATAAAGCAAGGAGCCTTTAGCTACTGAGTTTTGATGGTAAACAAGCAAGAGAACACTGATTTAACACCTTCGTGAACAAAGCCAATCCATCTGCCATTTCCCACCTTCCTTGTTCTTTGAGATAATTTTAAGTAATACGTTAACATGTATATAATGTTTTTAAGTTATGATAAATGGCAAGGGATTGGCTAAATAAATTATAGCATATTAATTTCATGAAATACTAGGCAGCCATTAAAAAGGATGCTGGGTCTGTTTATTGACATGAAAAGATGTTGCAGGAAGTACCAGAGTGAGAACCAGAGCTGACAACAAAATAAACTGATCGTTATGTAGAATCCTTACTTTTATAGATGAATAGTAAAAAATAAGGAATGGTGAGTTTTTTTCCTTTTCTAATTTTTCTAAAGTGAACAAGGTTTACTTATATAAAAATCTGTTACTAACCTGAACTTATCCCCCCAAAAATAACAAAACAAAATAAAACTTACCTAATATTCGTTCTAGTTCTTCACACCTCTTCACCTCACCAACAAATTTTCTTTGGAAGGAACTTACATTCTGGTTGAGCTGAGAAAAGGATGAAAAATTTGCTTTGAAATTTCTAAAATTTAAATATAAATGTGATTTTAAAAATAAAATATTGGCAAGGGTTTAGGGAAAAGCACATCCTCACACACTACTGGATGGGAGTAAAAAACCGACAAAACTTTTCTGGAAAGCGACTTGGCAACTGTTATCAAAAAGGCCTGAAAAATATCCTTTGGCCCAGAAATATCCCGTGAAGAAAATAAACCTAAGGAAAAAAGTGGATACAGACAAAAACCTACCCAGAAGAACATCAACCTCAGGGATAGAGGAAAAAGTGATTAACAGTAGAAAACTGTTAATCTAGAACACATAGTCTCCATCCAAACCATGGAACACTACCCAGCAATAAAGTACAAATCCCTGACACACTAAACACCATAGATGACTCTCAGAAACACAATGCAAGTGTGTCCTTCAAGAAGACACAAAAGGCCACATACTGTGTGATTCCATGTCCATGGAATGCCCAGAAAAGGTGTATCTAGAGGCAGAAAGTAGAGTAGTGATTGCCTGGGGCTGGAGGCAGGTATGGGGATGAAGTGTACGCACAAGGGATCTTACTAGGGGGATATGATGTTCTAACACTGGACTGTGGTGATGGATGCATAACGCAGTAAATTTTCTCAAAATCAATGAACTGTACACTTGAAATGGGTGCATTTTACGATTCAGATCAATAAAGTTGTATAAAAATTATGGTTCAGCCATATAACTGATTATTATGCCCTTAGTAATAATTATGTTTTAAATGACTAAGGTATTGGATTATATTAAGAAGTTATCATTAGGGTGCCTGGGTGGCTCAATCGGTTAAGCAGCTGCCTTCGGCTCAGGTCATGATCCAGGGGTCCTGGGATCAAGTCTCACATCGGGCTCTCTGCTCAGCGGGGAGCCTGCTTCTCCCCTCCCTCTCCTGCAGCTCCCCCTGCTTGTGCTCTCTTTCTCACTATCTCTATCTCTCTCTGTCACATAAATAAGTAAAATCTTTAAAAAAAAAAGAAGTTATCATTAAAAATTTTAGGTATGATAATGATATTGTGGCTATGATTTTTAAGCATCCTTACTTTTTAGAGATACTTGTTGAAATATTTATGAAAGAAATTATACATCTGGGATTTGCTTCAAATCATCATCTCAGAGAGAAGGGAGGGACAGATTTTGTCTGGAGGTGGAAGGCTGGAACGAGGGGCCATGAATTTATATTATGGGTACACAGGAGTCACTGTGCCCATATACTCCTCTCTCTACTTAACTTCTAATACAAAGCTTAACACAATAAAAAACATCGTAAAAGAACATTTAATAAAATGAGGAAATTAGTTATGATTTGTGTCTGGAAAAAATTAAAGATACTTTCAGTGTGGTTCCAATTATATGAGAATACACATATATGTACATTTTAAAACATTATTAGGAAAATAATGTTAGACCAATATTAACCAAGAAGTTAGACCGTTTATTTCTAGGTAATGGAATCGTGGAAGTTTTTATCTTATTCTTATGTTTTCCAGTTTCCCCAGAATGGACATATATTATTTTATAACAAGAAAAGATTAATCACTCATGTTGAAAGGCATTTAAGGCAAGAATGTTATCTTTCCTCCAGCCCATCACTCTTACTGAGCCCTCTCAGAAACCACAATTAGACGAGAACTTGGCATGAAACTGCCCAGCCGGGGAAGCGTCACCCCCAAGGGCTCAGTTCTTGTTCAGTTTTTCAAATATTTTTAAAAGGATTAACCAGAATGAAAACAAAAATTCAGATTGCACTTCTGTTTGTCACATTCGCATTCATTTCTGGGATCAAACTAATCTCAAGTAACCCCTTTCAAGCTCACGATGACTCAGGCCCGATCCACAGAACCAAGAACAAAAAGGAAGCGATGCATCACAAGTGGTCTATGAACCACCCAAGTGCCCCGTTTCGGGGTCTGTCCTTCAACATTCAACACTGCTGAGCGCTCCATGGACATCAGGGTTCTCCACACGGCAGGGGCTTCACGAAGAGGCCCGTTTCTGCGGCCGCGATACAAACATACTTGGGTTTGAGCGATGCCCCCATCATCGCCTCACAGATATGAGCTGCTTTTTTCTGTTGTGTGGTTTCTTTTACAAAGTTTTGTTTCTGCTTTCTTTTTCGGGAGGCTATGTCACCCATTTCTAGGCTGATAATAGGGTATCACAGTAGTGCCCCCGTCCCCAGTTTCAGGCACCTGCGGTCCACCGAGGTCAGGAAGCAGACAACCCCCCTTCTGGCACGTCACCAGGTCAAACAGCACCTACATCATGCACCTCACTTCATCCCACATCATCGAGAGAAGAAGGGTGAGCACAGGACAATACGATACATTGAGAGACAAGTAACTCACATATACCCTCCCAAACACATTTACATAATTTTTTATTAGAGTATATCGTTATAGCTGTTCTGTTGTTCCTCTCTTACTGTGCCCAACTTGTACATTACACTCTACCACAGGTATGCACGTACAGGAAAACCCATAATACCTACAGGGTTCAGTACTCTCCGGGGTTTCGGGCACCCGCTGGGGGTCTTGGAACGCATGCCTGCAGATACTGGGGGACCACACTGCATTCTATTGTAGACTCATCTTAAGACTAACCTTGAACCTAGAAAAGCCAGCAGAGGCTACGTGGTGCTGGTTTTACGGACACCCACACCAGCCATCTTCCCACTCCAGCCGCTGAGGGGCTACCGGTGAAATTGTTCTTAGACTATAGACCATCGCAACAGTGAGATGAACTGGCCCTTCTCTCTACTTGGCTGTCACTACAGAAACCCTGGGCCTGCCTGCTTTCCCTCAGGAGGCATACTAAAAGGGAAAAATCATCCAGCCTAGGCGAGCCAGAAAAGACTAATGTTAGTAAGCCCAGCCAGTGAATGCAAACTCAGTGAGGAACTCCATTAAAGAGCAGACAAAAGTGTCAGATGCTACGGGGCTTTCTGCACTAGCACCCATGACACTGGGGTGTCAACCCAACCTCCCCGCCCCCCCCCACACACACACACGCAGAGCTGAGATCTTTATCTGCACTTTTTCTTTCACTGGTTTTCTGTCTTGAAGGATCCCAAGTATAGTCTACTACCTCAGGTAATGGCACTCAGTGAAACGCGAATCTTTGTGGTGATTAAGGCCTTTGTTCAAACCTCCACGGTTTAAGCGTGTTAAGTCCCTCGGCTTGAGTACTACCAGGATGGAACAAATCTACCAGTTACAAATAAGGGAGCCTATTTCTCTCCTGTTTCCTGAATGTTTCGGGTGCTCCCCACAGCTGATCACAGCACCTACTGGGTAAGTGGGAACAGGAGCTGAAGCCCAAGTGACTCCAGGAAACAGGAAGAGAGCCCGGCCTTCCCTGCAGCCTCGGCTGTCACTCAGGAGTTTCTCCCTAACCTTGCAATCCCTTTGGAGTCGACCCAAGGGTCACTGATATCAGATCTTGAGTAGGGGTGTTCCCTTTTGAAATTAAGGGCCCCTCAGAGAGATGAAGGGAAACAACCAGGAGATCAAAGTTGGGGCCCAGGAGGAAATAAAATGTTCCCCTGAAGTGACTTTCAGTTCCATCACTCGGTATTAGATCCTGCTTACTACTCCCCTTCCACACTTTGTTCTTTCCCTTCACAGCACTTCACAATTCCAGTTCACAGAGCCTGTTTATCTGTCTCCTCCCAGGCTGTAGGCAGCAAGAACATAAGGACCTTGTCCACCTTGCTTACCACTGAGACACCAGCATGAAAAACACTATCTGGAACAGAGCAAGCACTCAATAAAGGCATGCTCCTTCATCCAGCAAATGCCTACTAATGCCCACAAATGCCAGGGACTGTGCTAAGTCTTGGGGAATCAGGAGTGAACAAGTCAGGAGAGGCCCCTAGCCCTGGAGGTTGACAGTCCATGGTGTAAACAAATGATAAAAAAGTAAACAGATACATAAACAAGCGTTTATCATTACTTGTTGGGAAGACAGTTCCCATTCCTTAGTAGGCAGTGGTATGCACATCACACATCAGTGAACAAAACCAAGGAAAACCCCTTCCCCTCAAGGCGCTTACACCGAGTTCATTCCCAATTCAGGTTCTGGGCTCCTTCTGTTCCCTCCATCCGGGACCCTGTCCCCCCAGATCTTCCAGGGCCAGCTCTTTCCCATTCAGGCCTCATCTTGGCTCAAACGTCACCTCCTCAGAGGGGCCTTCCTTGACCATCCCGACTCGAGTCACCATCCCATCATCCCCCTTTCATTACCCTCACAGCAAACATTATGTTTACGTATTTACTTGCTTGGTATTTGTCCCCGCCACCCCCATTAGTTCCAAAAGGTCTCCAAAAGGCCTCATCAGATTCGTTCTCCCCCCGGTTAGCCCAGTGCCTGGCACGGAGTCGGCGCTCCGAAGCATCTGATGGCACTCCCCTAAGTTGATGAAGACTACACAGAGCGTTCCTAACTAACCCGGCCAAAGCCGCCGCCGACCAGACGCCCGGCGACCCGGGGCTCGCGCCCCGCTCTGCGGAAGCTCTGGCCAGTAAGCCGGGCCCCAGCTTCCCTGCCTGCGAAATGGGGACAGCGGCGCGCCCCTGCCAAGGAGCCCGCGGAAGGGAGGCCCGAGCGAAAGGCGAGATGCCGCGCTGGGCGGGCAGGTGCGGCCCGCGTCTCCTGGACGACACTCACGTCTCGGAACTGGACCAGGCCCTTCTCGCCCAGGGCGCTGAGGCACTCGTAGGCAGTGCCGGACTGCAGGAACAGCTGCGCCAGGCACATGGTCTCGCTCCGGAACAGGGACCCCATGGCGGGCCAGCCCGCGCCCCGGCGAGGCCGGACGGGCGGCGGCGGCTCCGGGCCGCTCGGG